GACAAATCCCTCCTGTGGGATAATGAAGATTCCAGGTTTACTTTGATTTGCACTGAAGCAGGCGTTGGTCACATTTAATTTTCGCCATTTGCCTGAAAACGAAATGAAAAAGTTACGTCATCTTTGTTATTTTCATGAAAGCTTAACAGGATGTTAGATAGAGCTGCATGGTAATAACCATTCAGTCGATCTTTGCATGGTCAAGTTAAAGTCTCTCCCCGAGAACAACCTGGGAAGGTCTCAATCTGGTTAAAAGCGTTTGCAATTCTCTTCAATTATTGTCACTGCCTATTTCAAGGCTATTCTTTCGTTGTGAGCTCGTAAATTTCAATTGTTAGTAAGTATTCGAGAGGCGAACAAAGAATCGGAGGTTTATTGACTTTTCGCAAATAGACGATAGTCTGAATAGCCCATGCCCACATAAACATTTTACAAGCGTTTGCACGTTTTGAAAGAAGCCAATTCTTGACGTTGCTGATCCTAAAAGTAAACAAGACGCTTGTCCCAATACGAACCTGGTAAAGAGCTTTGCTCACAATCGAGGACTCTGGAGCTCAGAGTTAGAGGATCTAACTCGCAGATATGAAGCTCTAATTCTCGTGGGAAATTTAGATTTTTATTTGTCTCACGCTCATGATTAAAAAATATCATTTCTCTTTATCGGACGAAAAGCTACAAAGTAACCATCTTTCTCTCCCTAAGTCAATTTTACACGGCATCTATAAAGTATACTGTTATTTTTTAATCTTCTTGTAGATCTTATCTAGTGTTTATTCCCCATGATCACAGCTCAAGTCGGCTCGATTTACAAGACTAAATTTGACTTCAAATGGAGCTACCGCTTGACTAAAATGAACCTTGACCAAATGATCAACTGAGGTGCAAGTGAAAGATATTAATTAAGATTGGAAAGGATTATAGTGTATTACAAACTGACCGTTTGAAACGTTCCCGATATAAAAGCTAAAAAACAAATACAATATGATTTTGGCAGCCTTGCAAGAATTATATTTCGACATTTATGAACTCTGAATTTGGCAAGCATGTCTCTATGAACCTCTCTTTCTCTATGAAAGAAAAAGTTTTCTTGTTATCCTCGGTTGGATGTGTAAAACAAATTTGAGAGTAAAATAGTCAAGAAATGTTAGCATATCAGAAATTCTTTAAGCTCAACTGGTCCTAAACGCCTTTCTTTCTAGACGTGCCTCGTTAAAGAAACCCTCGAGAATGGAATAAGTTCAAACTGTAGTTTGCTTGTAATCAGATGTCTTTTTAACGAAGAATATTCGCCTTGATTGAAAGCACTTTTATTTTTTGACAAACGGTCTGATAAGCAAGGCAAACTGAAAGACAAGTTCTTGTTTATAGCTTACCTGGACTTCTAGGACACATCATTTGCATGCCCTGTCTCAACGACCCTGCCTCTTGTTTCAGTAGATTCCTCAGTTGTTCTTCTTGCTGCGCGGAAAATTCACCGCAACAACTTAATTTGGCTATTACACCTTGACAAAAGATTGAAGTAATCGCGCCCAATAGCAACAGAAATCTGGCCATGTCGAATGCAAGGACTGTTTGTTTGTTTTTTTTTTCACGCGTGGCCCTCAAATAGACCAGTTCCTGATATCACAGGTATCAGCGTTCAATGAGAAGGGGGCCTCATTAGAATGCTTTAAAAGCAGGATTGACGCCTACAACTGTTAAAATGTTTTCATCGGCTCAACACAAATTGCGCAGATCCGTCTGTTACCACGTATCCTTTGAAATTGGATGAGAGCGGATTTGTCTGGCGGAAGGATTATTGCACGGGAGGTAAATCAAAAGCGGTGTTAAATTGATTTTGGAGTACGCGTTATAATACCAAGAATATAATTTTAAAATACGTAAAGTTTCAGCGAGTAAGTCAAGAAAAAATAAAAGCGTTTCACCTCCTTAGAGAGAGGTAAATCACAGTGGCAAAGCTAAGAAATCTTTTAAGAATCCATGTTTATTCTGAACGTTAATATTTCATAAAATATGTCTCAGTAGTTTCTGCGCAACAAGCGACAGCAACCGTTACGAAATTATTTTGCAAACTATTTTTACTGTCGATGTCATTGAAAAACGCAAAAGCCAATTTAAACTTCAGGAAAGGAAATTGAGGGCTCCAAGCGAAACAACTGTGAATTAACAGTATATCAAGTATTCACAGCACGTTATTTTCGTAGGTTAACAGATTACGTCAGAGTTTTTTTTACAATGTCATCGGCGGGAAGACATGTTTTGGATGTCAATTGCGTTCCAGGAGAAAATAATTTTAGATTGTTTGGCAATAAAAATGGAAAAAGCATACAAATAGACAAACTAAAAAAATTTCACAAAAATTTATAGTCATACTTTTCTTCTCGTTCCTTTTTTCAGTGAGTAGTACAATACTGATTGCAAAGTCTAAATTCTTGCAAGAGAATTCTGGGAGGTTCTAACAATTCCAGAATTATATGCTCAAATTTCGTTACAAGGGCCCCGGCCTCAGTTCGGGAAAAATTATTACCACTAAAAATGCCCGGAAAAAGGAGTTTTTTTCGATGTTTAAATATGATGTGGTCTATTTCAATTTTCGGATTTTGTTCAACAATTCCTGATAAACATCGAAGGTCCACATCCTAATATATCGTGTAAAAGCTGCTTTGTGTCTAACAGCGGATGCTTGTCGGTAAGCGCAACCACTATTTGTACCTTAATTATAACTTGTTAAACAAAATCGGGTTAATATTGCTTTTTGATGTTTAGCGCCTTAGGGAAAACTTGTATCGTGAGCTACGTGGAAGTTTGGGGAAATATGCAAATGTAAGAAAAGGAAGGCCCAAGAGGACTCGCAGGTGGGCGGATTAGAAGTTATCGCTTCAAGTCTGGTTTGAACTTATACAAAAAAAAGCTTAAAAATTTTCAGCTTCTTTTACATTGAGAAACGGTCTTAAGGCATGAATTGTGGGCATCTTTTTCAAGCTCAAAGATTAGATAATGATGAAAATGTCAGTTGAAGAAGTACCTCCTTCTTCGTGTGTTCGAGGGGGGTTGGATTTTCCAGTCTGCCAGAAATGACGCATAAGCTATTGTGTTTTCGCTCAGTTGGAGAGACCTGAGCAGGAGACAAAAGTCTACCGGCAGAGCAGAAAAAAATGAGCTTGATGTGCACGCAATCTTGATTGCCTCTCAGTCGAAATAGTTTTGGAATGATATGACAGAATAAATCTTTATGTCATTCTGCATGGCGGAGGACCGTCCGCAATGGGTTCAGGGCGTTTGCACTTTGAACTTAGATCAGTTTAAGTGGAGAGAGACATAGAGTTTTGAAGAGGAAGAGTTTGGGAAAATGGCCAAGAACTGGTCAGTAGGAGCTGATGATGTAAGTTACTAAAGCATCTTTTCGCTTTAAAAGCAGAGAAAAAGGGAAAGACTCTTCTTGAAAAATGAAAATAGATACAGTCCTATTACACTGGCATAGAACGAGAAATTTATCTGTTCAAAATGACGAAATGTAGCAATTCGTGATTTGTATTGACATTGTGTAATCATCTTTGTACGCCCCTGGAGGCTGGGAAATGGTCGAAAACTTTATCCGTTTCCGTAACCTAGCTAAATTTTAATTTTATTTACCGTTATTTCACTTTTTCCTTAAACTAAATTTAATTAAATTTTAGCTTCAATTCAAGGCTTACATCATGAACTGGCATCATATTATCGCGCTATGCGTGTCAAGATCCTAGGTCAGTTACCCACACTAGGTCGAGATTGGGCGGAAAGACGGAAAGACTCAAAGAATCTTGGCAAACAAAATAATGAAGCGAAAAATTTGATTGTTTAAGAACAAAATACTATCTTTTCACGACGGAAAGCTAATTTCCGGAATTTTCAGAACGCCGCACGTCTCCAAGCCCGTCTAAATCGACTGCATGACGGCAATCAACTTCTTTTACATTTTTTACTTACTTTCCTAGCAAAAAAAACATGCTGTGAACTCTGACGTTATTCGACTTTATTTTCCACGTAACAATCATACTACTAAAGTCATAATTTAAGCTTATCGAAAATGTTGCTAAGGCGTTAACGTAGTATTGGCTGGACATCAATACTGATTTTATACCGCAAGACCTTTGCATTTTCTTAGAGGCTTTTCGCTCACGAATCTTTTCAGTACATCTCATTCTTTTATTTTATGTAGTAGGAATTGATATCTTTTAATATCTGTTTGCACGGTCAAAAAGACTCCATGTAACAAGTTTTTTGAAAGGAAATATTTGATACTAGGCTGGATAAAACTGCTGAAAAAGCGCGAATTCCGTTTTGGAATCCGTCAAGAGGACCGCACATGTACCAACTGATTTCCTAAAATAATAAAATAACTTGATCCCACAGGAAGTTTTACCTGCATATGTCGACATAGAAATGCACAGCGTAACTTAACCTTTATCTTAATTCTTCTCTAAGAAATCTAGCGGCGAAAACTTATTTCAAAATAAAATTTATCTTTGGCCGCACTAACAATTCGTTAGAATTTCAAGCCGTTCCTATGGGTGTGTATTGTCATGACCGACAATAGTTGCCGTCCTGAAAGAGGATAAAAGTAGAAATCAAGACGAGCTTTTCTTCTCTTTTTTCCAAAAGATCTCTTTGGGAAGCGTCCAAAAACGTTTGGAACTTCGTTCTGTATGCACCAGGTTATTTGATCCTAAATTTCTGCCGAAATATTCCCAACACTCAAAAGACCAAAGGCTCAAGCAGTTTCTATTTCTAAGAAGCTTACAATTTTAATACGCTAACAATTATAATCGAACAAGTATAATCTTTCGAAATTATAACCAAGAGAACATTTCGTAAAAGGCTCAGAAAGATTTCATCAACTACTTTATCTTCACGTGAACCTCCTTCGATTTTAGTTCTTTCACAGAGCAGACTCGTTTGATGTATTCTTTACGTATATACTCTCATTCAAACAAAACCGTGTTCCTCACAAAAAGTAAGAAGCTTAGCATGATTTCGCGAACGGAAAAAGTTAGACTTTGTTCTAGCTATTCTAATGGTCGAGTACTTTGAATTTTAAGCTCCATTTATTTGAAAGGGTGACCTTGCGATCAGCCAAGATTATATGGAACCAAGCAAACTCACATACTTTTATCAGCTGTTCTTTCTCCGCGGAATTTCAACGCTGACCTCTGGTAGTGCTGAACTTGGCGGTACATTACAAGCTGCGGCGATAAGCTGCTTACGCCGAACATAATGGAACGTGAATTGGTTGATGGTTACATTCTTTAATCTTACGAGGTTTGCCATTCATGCGAGCTGAAAACTTTCGCATGTCGACGTGATTGCATTGTAGGAAAAGCGGTTATGAGGAAAAAAAGGTCCGAACGTGATGGAAACGGTTTTCATCGAATTCAAAGTTCAGGAATGTAAGTAATCCTAAACTGTCATGCAACTTTGTGAATTTGATTAAATTCAGTAACTTGGCCGGCATTGTTTCAATCTTTGCAGACGACTTTTAAAGATGCCGCCTCAAATTTTCTTCCATTTAGTGTGGACTAAAACGAACCCAATCACCAATGAAGATTATCCTTTTAATGGAAGACCGCCCACGCACATTTAATTTGCCTTTTTTACGTTATAGTTTTAGTAAAAATATCTGAGACCTCTGCCCCCTTAAAATTCTTGGTCCGATTATAAGTTTGTGAAACTTTAACTTTACGGTTTTATCACTAATCACCGCGTTCACCTTTTAGGTTGATCCAGTGAAGACATCGTCAATTTTTTTCGCCCAAAAGATTGAAGAACTTGCATTGTCCCAGCAACTCGGCCCCGACGTTCAAAAATGACGACTTCCCGATTGTTGGTAATGCTAATCGCAGCTGGTTGTTGTGCGATTTTGTGCAACGGATCTCAGTCTTGTGGTTTACTACATCAGAATGTTACAAAGGGAATTGACAGAGTGTTAGTCAGTGAACGTCATTCGTTTGGAGCAGACTTTAGGAACTTTTGTCTTTCCTATGAAAAAGGTATGTTTGCTAGAATTACGCCACAAACAACACAGTAGAGTGCCAGCTGCCTTCATTACCATAAGGGGAATTTTATATAACGCAAACAGTTTTCATCTACATAATGCAAGCATGAAAGAAAATTGCTTTACTCGGAAATATGTTTCAGTCACAACTTGACCAATTTCCTCTTTATTGGTAATCGAGCCAAGACGTTTAAATACTAAAGCAAATTCAGGAAACACTATGCGCCTTATTCCGCGAAACCTACACATCTGAAATTAAATCTTCGCAAATTCTTTCGTTGGAAAAGGTTGCATGAGCTAATTTCAGTGCTGGTAAACTTCGAAACAGAGAGAAACACGTTTACGCTTGTAATAAGAAATGTGTGAAAAATGATGAGAATACCCTGATTAAAAAAAACACGAAACCCTCGCAATTCGCGGAACTTGTGATCATAACAAACTCAGTAAACAGAAAATTCCTATTTTTGCAGTCCTTTATTCGTAACACCAAAGAGACATACTTATTTGCTGGTCTTAAAAAAGCTTTACCACTTTGTTGACCTTTCTCTAAACCCAATTGCAAAAGAGATACAAAATAGAAGTGAATCATTTATAGACCTAAAATCAGTCACTGTTCTATGTTGAATCTACTTAACATCCGTTCAAACTTAACATCCGTTTTCATCCCGCAAAGCTCTACCCGCTTTCCTCTACGCCTTCCCAGACCTAAGACGTATTCGCTCACTGCGCAACTAGAGATGCATGCCCTATCGTACCGGTTTCTTAATAAACGGTAGTGATAGGCACGCGGGAAAATGCAATACTCTGCCGATTTTCAATTTGAAATTGGTGAATGTTGTGAGCTAAAGGCTTTGGGCATCAATGCAAGAGGAAAGTTTAAGTCTTTGTTCACCGTAGATCACACAAAGCGTATAAAATTGTAATCCAATGAAGAAATTTAAGTTTACTTTCAGTTCTAAAATAAACATACAAAAACAGAACCCTCCAAAGCCCACAACTGAACCAAAAATAGGTCTGAAATTTAAACGATTGATATCTGAATAAGCTTAGTTCTGCTTTCAACCTGGGAATACAGATAAGCCAAATTTCCTAAGCAAATTGAGGTCAATTACAAATGAAAAATTATCGGATCTATTTCCACTAAGTCACCGACGCCATTTACATCAAATTGATTTAACTTGTTTAATCTTTTCACAGAGAAGTGGCTGAGCTTAACAAAAGGAGCTGTCTGCTTTGGAGGGAGTGGCAACGAATATGCCACCCTTGTGGTACCAATAGAGGGCTTCCTAATGTCAGTCAAATTGACCCACGTCAGTGGACTCAGCTCATGCAAAAGAAATTCTCCCCAATACAACAGTAACTGGGGTTGCTCTCGCAATCATCCTGAACACGGCAGATCGCCCTTTAACGTTGTCGTAACGACGGCACCCAGAAATGACATTCTCTTTCCGACACATTTTTTTCTTCAACACAACAAGGGATCCTATTGGTACGACAAACCAGAAGTGGACCCTCACTCACCGGAAATAATCCTTACAGATGCATCAAATCCCATTTATGTTGCTATGGGCCAAGAGCTCCGTGTGTGGTTTGGAGAAGACCTGTTGAAGTCTGGTGTGAAGAAAAAAGGAGGTAAAGTCTGTATAACCGCGCAAGCCTGGTACAAGCATTGAGCTGTCTACATGTCACGTGACCAATTAATGCATATGTTGCCCGAATAAATTTCAGAACGACCTCAAGGGAAAAAACTGACTTTTGAAGCTACTTTGCTCAGTTGAGTTGTAATTTACGAAAGACTATCTCTTAGAGTATTTTAAAGTTTTATTTAAAAAGTTAGACAAGTCGGAAATAAGACAAGATGCCTAAGGCTTACGTTGACAGTTCAGACTTTGAATCACAATCCTACCACTCAGTGTAAAAGAAAATTTAAAGGAACTTCAGCATTTATCTCCCCCCATAACCAATTAATTTTCAGTTTACTCAATAGTAAATACCGAACCCCTTTCTCATAGCCTAAGAAAATAAAGAGAAAGCAGTCAGTTTCAGGCTTCAGTTATTGGTGACCACGTGAGAAGAAGAGATTTTAACTGGCCTGAAACAAACCAGCTCGCTATTTCAAGCAGGATTCATAGGTGTCACAGTGGAGAGGCAATAGGTTTTTGACCCCCCCCCCCCCCTCCGAAAAAAAGTGAGAAACAGCCCCTTCCCCCCAAACCCCTCTCCTCCTCCCTGCCACTTTTTGTTGCGCAAATTATCGCAAGCGCAGCAGAGACTAGCATGGTAGACTATTCAACCTCGGTGTTTAATTTCTAATCATTTCATCACGCTTGCTGGTATTTTTTAATAGCTTCCTGCTTATACATTGCCTAAATCAATTACGCTTACATTGGACAATGATTGCAAAGAGTTTGCAAGCACCAAATGACCACGTACAGTGCAGTGCAAGATGGAAAATTTAAGTCGGGGTGTGCGTTAGCCTTGGTGACGAAGAGCTCTTCTACATCTCGAAACGCTCTCGCAGCTTTTGCGACCGAAGAGTTGATGTAAGGACTGTGAAAAGCGGCCTCTTTATAGCAAAGTGAAATTTTAATGTAAGTATAAGAGAAAGAAACAAAATATTCAGGATAGCCGATGGTACTGAGGTATAATACTGGTTTTTTATAGGTGCAGCTCGGATAACAAATAGCTTACGTGGTTGATGAGATTGTTCATAGCTCAGACTTGTCGTGCTGGCTCGTTCGCGTTTATTTTCTTCTAAACTCATGAATGTTACCCAAACTGGAACGGCGTTCCACAGCTCGATGCTTTTGCACATGTCCAAGCAACGCGGTGACGTCACTGTGGCGTCTGCGCATTAAAGCAGGTTTTGAGCTGAAAGCAGTAGAGCCTGGTGTAGAATTTTTAATTCCGGGAAGCGCGGTGACTTTTGAGCTTGAACAGTCTTGCGTTCGTCCCTTATTGAACGCGACTGATAAAAACTTGAAGTCGTTCTCGATCTCAAACAAAACATCTTTGCTTGCCTCTCTGTCATTAACTTCATCGTTTAGTTTTTCATACGATGAACACTGAGTTAAAGAGCGCCATTTTCTCGAATTTACCATTCCCGCGTTGAGCTTAGTCGATTCTATGGCTGGCAAACTATTCCTTCGCAACATCAGCTTAGACTTTTCTGGTCCAGTGGGGCCCTTCTTCAAATCTCTACCAATTTTCTTAATTTTGTGGTCATGTTCTTGCAGGAGATAGTTTTTTTCTCGATTGAGTTGATCCAACTTCTTTTGCAGAATACTTTCTTCTCTTCTATTAATCGCCATGACTTGTTCGACGCGTTGTTCGTTACACCATTTTGAAGCCTTCCGCATGCGGTGTTTATCCATAAGAAATAACGAGAACAGATACCTGAGGAGAAAATAAATGTTGGGTACTGAATATGTAAACATGTTACGTAATATATGAAAGTATAGTCTTTCCTCACGAAACTTAATGCTTAAATATTTTAAGACTGAGCTGCCCGTAAGACACTAGGAAAATTCCAAAAGTTACCTTGCGAGTATAATCACAAGCTGCGATTGCAGCTCATTCAAGCTGACAATCGCTTTTATGCTTCATTGCTGAATACTTTCGAAAGGCAATTCTGCTTGAGCTTAGCGCGTTTGGTCCAAACTTCTTCGAGCCAGATTTTCCTAGAGAAAACTCTTTCTTCTTAAAATTGTCTCTAGACTTCAAAGGAAAAACGATGGCGCAGTTTGCAGTAAGACTATTTGTTTTGATGATAAACAAACGCTCGTAAGAGTATGAACGTACAATTTACCCTTGTTGGTAGTTCAGTTATTCATTTTTACCTGGGACACACAAGTGCTCTCGTTTTTTCAGGAATTAAATCCTCGATGCAAACTCATTAAGCCCAAAAGCCTCGGAAGAGAGTCAATGACTGCTTTACGAGTCTTTCTAGTGCATTGAATTGTTGAATCAAAAAGATCTACCGCCAAGAAAATAAAGGGACATGTACAGTGTTTGGAATGATATTTATTACGATGCTTACAGTTCAAGAAACACACCTCACTTTTGTAATATCACAATGCGTAATATTATAATGAGTGGCGCTATAACCTCTTCCTTTCACCTACCATCGCCAAGGGAACATCAAGTCTCTCATTGAAAACAGCTTTCTGAGTACATCGTGAATTGATGGACGGTCTCAGTATATCACATTTTTTTATTTACCCAAAGTATTTCTGTGAATTTATTTAAGTAAAACAGTTAACGGTTTCATCGATTTACTCTACGCGCGAAGTTTGCAAAAGCGTGCGGTTCTCGTCTATTCAAATATGCTAATTTTAAGCTTCTTTAAGCGACCATTGGAAAGGTAAAAAAGTGCCTTACAAATTCGAGACTTTGTTCAAATGATACTTAATTCTTTTTCTTTGAAAGTATCCAATAAGCGTTTGAAACTTTTTCTGTAAACTTTTTCATATCGTTCGACTTCAGCTGTCCTTATTGCGGTTCCCTAGAGAACGATTCAAAAAGAGGCAACTATGATTCCTTTTAAAGAACCCTCGTAGTATCATTCAATTAAACAACTAACACCTGTAAAATCTTTTATTGATATTCTTTTCACCCTTAAAGTTTCCGCAACGGAATTAAGATATTCTCTGCCGGTAAATACAGTGTTTGTAACAAGTTCAAGTCGTGCGAAGGAGTATAAATTATGCACATTTCTGCGCTATTTATGGAATTTAATTTCAATTGATGAAAGGAAAAGGTTGAAGTGAGGTTATTATAAACCACAGTTGTGGTTCAGTTATCTTGCCGGCCATGAAGGTTGTATCTGCTCATATCAGTAAACAACGTGTTGTAAACAAAGATGTAAGGTTAAAACTTCTTCTGAGTGATCCTTCAAAAGTAAGGCGTAAAGATGAAGAGATATCGATCATTATACGAAAAACAATAACCTTTATTTGTGGGTCTTAATGAGATTTACCAAGGATTTACAAAGCATCACGTAACCTGTGCGCAAATGTTACCTTTACGCCGATTGCAACCGAGAATTTAACGTGAGTGTAAAGGTACTAAACAATAACGGAACTCTACTCTAATACGGGTGAAAAACAGTTTATTCTTAAAAAATTGCATCGTTTTCCCAAAATATTTTACCGATTCAATTGCACCGTGCATTGTATCGCGCATAGGCATCCCAAGCTCTCGATGTACCAGTGAATCTGGGCCCAGTTGTTCACAGGGCGGAGAACGCTATCTAACAGACAAATCGCTTTCCAGTTGACAGGTGTTAAAAAAACGTATTGTGCTATCTACCGGATAGAGATTTTCCCGGTGAACTGCGTTATGCACCCTTCGAACAACCAGAGCCTGCATTGTTATGACGCAACCAGAATTGTATCAGCACAATGGTTGCGCTTAAACCAAAAAGCTGTCCGCGATTTAACCCCTAAAATGTTTTCTTCGACTCAGTCCTGTGGATTTTTGGTCGATTTTCAGCGATCTAGGAAGTTTTCGTTCCTCCCATTTTTCCCGGCAAAGGCTTTATCAATCCTTTCCTGGGAGAAGATACAAGAAGGAATGAGCAGTGTTTCTCAATTCAACCTTTTTCTTTGCAGAAACCTCTATATTTCTACTGTTATATAATATCCATGGATGACAGAAAAAATTCTTACACCGAGCTTGGTTACCTACGCTTACATTGTACATTGTGACTTCAGTGAGGGTATCATAGGGACTGTGAGGGGGGAGGGAGGGGGGGCGGGGAGATTTTGGTTCGGCAACGGCTGTTCCCCCCTCAGTTTCCCTTGAAAACCTTGTGATCTACCCAAAATCCTCCATCCCTTCCCCCCCCCCCCCCCCCCCCCCAGGCGATAGATAACGGCCTGCCCCTCAGTTTATCCTAGCGGCTTAGAAAGTAAAGAAAAGAGCATGCGCGGTTGGCAGGATCGTTAGACGATTGCAGTACTCAGTTTTCGATTTATTCACACAAAAATATCTTTGTCATATTCACATAGGAAATCTTTGGATTTCTAGCTTCTAGATCCAAACGTATGAATATCAGCCAAACTAGAACGGCGTTTCTCACTTCGATATCTTTGCATATGATCACGTAATGTCGTAACGTCACTGTGGCGTCTGCGCATTAGAGCAGCTTTTGAGTACGAGCCGGTGGAGCCTGGTGTAGAATTCCTAATTCTGGGAAACTTGGTGGCACTAGAGCTTGTTGGGCTTTGGTCTTTTTCGGTACCAAAAGCGACTGATAAAAACTTGAAGTCGTTGTCTATCTCAAACAAAACATCTTCGCTTGCCGGTTTTTTATCATGTTCATCTTTCGGCTTTTCACGTGGAGAACATTGCGTCAAAGAGTGCCATCTTGCATTCATCATTCCCGCCCTGGGCTTATCCGGTTCTATGGCTGGTAAACTATTTCTTCGTAACATCAAGTTGGACCCTCCTGATCCATTGGAGAGCTTTTTGACACGCGCGTCAAAAGCTTTTTCAGTTTTCCAAATGTCGTACTCATACTCTCGCAGGAGATGGTTTTCTTCACGATGAAGTTGATCCAAAGTTTGTTGCAGCATGATATCTTCTTTTCTGTTAAGCGCCATCATCTTTTTGACGCATTGTTCGCTGCACCATTTTGAGGGCTTCCGTATGCGGGGTTTATCCATACGAAGTGCTGGGAACCACCTCTGAGAAGATAATAAATCTTAGATTATTTTACTTTTGAAAAAATAAATAAAGAACAAATGGTAATTAAAATCTAGAGGCTGGCATCATCGAACTTAGCTGCGCGATTCACGGTGTTGTGCGACTCCGATTAGCGGCAAGGGATGAACATAAAGCGCAAGAGATCATTTGAAGAAAAGAGTAAGACTGCTCTTGAACTCTCTTCATCATTTTTATCTCCTTTGTTCCGTGCACGCCTGTTGTTGTTGTTGTTTCGGTTTTTTTTCTTCTTTTCAGCGGATAGAAGACTGGTTCCCCGGCCAACACACGCCCAAAAGAGATCTCGGGTTTGCTTATAAGCGGGTAAGTGATGCCTATTTCTTCAGCACAACACGCTTTAATAAGAACGAGGAATATACGTCCGTAATTAGCTTCTTGAGACCGATTGACCAG